TGCCTCTTGTGGACATGTGTTCATATTTTTCAGGTAAATGGCCTAGCTAGGAATGGAATTGCTGGGCCACGAAGCAGATGTATGTTTGATATGATAAGACATCATCAGTTTTCCAAAGTGCTGATATCATTTCTCATTCTCACCACTGAAATTCTGATTATGCTGCATCCTTGACATTTGACTTTGTCAATATTTTCATTTTGGGTCATTCTAGTGGCTTCTGGGTATTTAATTTATAATGCTTTCCATCATTGATGATGCTGAGCACTTTTTCATGTGCTTGTTATCTATTTGTATATTGTGAAGTGTCTGTACAAGTCTTTCCTGTTTTTTCTTTTTGTTGTAGTTGTGTTTTCTGTTAATCCCTGGCTGGGGATTGAACTCTGGTGGCAATGGAGGTCAGGGGTTCAGATTTAACCCTGAGGCCAGGAGGGAGGCCCTCTTCCTGCTTTGAAATTGAGCGATTTGTCTTGGGTTGTTGAAATTCTTTACATTCTTTTATTTTTCTTTAAAAATTTATTATTTATGCATACAGAACTGAGGTACAGGCCAGAGGCAGTGAGAGGATTTATCAGAGACAGAGTGGGGAGCAGAACAGGCCAACTGAGAAGTACACTGCTGAGGGGAGCAGTGGGCTGGTCAGGAGAGGTCTGCTGTGCCATGTGGGTCAGCTCCCTGGCCAGGGATTGAACTCGTGCTGCAGTGGCTGTGGAGAGCTTCTCAGGGCTGCACTTTAACCTACTGAACCACCAGGGAGGCCCTCTTTACATATTCTTGATACAAGAATGTGATTTATGAGATTCATGTTTTGAAAATGTTTCCTCCTGGCCTGTGGCTTTTCTTTTCATTTCTTAATGACTTTTCAAAAACAGGAGTTCTTAACTTTGAAGTAGCTTCTCATTTTTTTTTTTTAGAATTTAGTTTTTGTCCTAAGAAATATTTACATAACTCAAAATCACAGAGATATTCTGTTACGTATCACCTAGAAGATTTAGGCTTTCAATTCTTACACTTAAGATCTGTAATTCATCTCAACTTTGTATTTATGTGAGGCAGTATTCTGGTGTTATGTCTCAATTGTTGAAGAGACTTGACTTTGCCATTATATTCCCTGGCATGCTTGTCAAAACTTATTTTGTCAATGCTAGTGTGTCAAAGATATATATGTCTATGAGTGTGTGGTTGATTTTATGCCAAAGTGCTAAAAATGTGTCAATCTATTTATAGACCCTATTCTGTTCTAGTGTTTTCTCAGCAATGCTATACAGTCTCTGAAGTAGGCGTGTATATAGTTAATATTGATTGTACCAAGAGACCCTCCAAAAACATTATGCAAACTCACATTCCTGCCAGTCATGGGGTCAGTGTTTGCTTCTACATTCTTACCAGTAGGGGGCAACACCAACTTTATAAATTGTGGGACCATGTCTTAATCACTGCTGTTTCCAGTCACTGAGTACTGTGCCCCTGACCTACAGCTGCCTGGCTGGGTGCCAATGGATGAATGGGAAGAGGTTTGGCATACCTGTCAATGCCAACACTTACTAAGCTGTCCTGGGAAGTAACCAAGACAATCAAAGTAAATTCTAGACAAATGTTTTTGAAAGCTCAAAAGATTATGTCATTTGGATTAGAGTGGAGTAATAATAGCAAAGACAGCTAAGTCTTACACAGCAAACCTTACTGTGTGGAAGTTTGTGTTCTTGGTCAGGCTCAGATGCCATGACACGTTCCAAGCTTTGAGAAGGAGACAAGGACGAGGAAGGGAGACTTCCTTAAAGGTAGTTCCTAGGAGCTGCCATGTGACGTTGTTTATGTCCCATTAAATATACAACCACACAAAGCTACAAGTGAGTCTGGAAATGTAGGTGGTGGGTTATTTTTTGTTTGTTTTTGTTTTTGTTTTTGTTTTTAAAGGATTTATTTGTGCATAAAGAACTGGGGTAAAGGCCAGAGGTGCAGGGGTGGTAAGAGGCTTCACCAGACAGAGCGGGGAACAGAACAGGCTGACTGAGGAAGTACACTGCTGAGGGGAGCAGAGGGTGGTCAGGAGAGGTATGCTGTGCCCTCTAGGTCACCTTCAGGGCGGGGATTGAAATCAGGCTGTCACAGTAATAGCACTGAGAATAACTCCAAAGCTACCAGGGAGGCACCCCTCGAGTGGGTATTATCAGCCTTTTTTAAAGATTAAAATACTGGGACTCGGGGACCCCACAGCTGGGAAGTGCTGAGCTGCACACCACGGTCTGCCCAGCCTGGACTCTGCCATTGAAGTACATGACAGGTATCCCTCCTACCAATGCACCACAGCAGCTATAAAGCAGGGGTGGAGGATACCCTCTTTAGCTGTTAGGGTGTTTCTTATAAGGCATCATTTTATTTTTTACATCGTTCTTCATTTTGTGCATTTGTCCATCTTAGCTGTAATCCCCATGGACTTTCCACCATCCATGTACCATCACCGTAGTCCCGTACTCTCTTCCCACCCCAGTTCAGATCCCATTCCCCTCTCCACCCCCATAAACTGTCTCTGGTTTATAGTTGTTCCTTGTTTTTCATTTTTTTCTTTATTCCAATTCTTCTTTTTTTTTCTATTCTCTTATGATCCTGCTGAGTGAAACCATCTGGTATTTTCTTTCTGGCTTACTTCACTAAGCATGATTCCTTCCAGCTCCATCAATGTTGCTGCAAAAGGCATAAGTTTATCTTTTTTGATCACTGAGTAATATTCCATTTTGTGTATGTACCACATCTTAATCCAGTCATCTACTTTTGAGCATTTGGGTTGATTCCACATCTTCCCTATTATAAATAAAACAGCAACAAACATGGGGGTGCAGGTATCCTTTTGAATCAATATTTTTGTGTCCTTTGGGTAGATACCTAAGAGTGGGTCTTAAGCTGGGTCTTATGGAAGCTCCATGTTTAGCAGTTTGAGGAAACTCCAAACAGCTTTCCATAGTGATTGCAGCAGTTTTCATTCCCACCAGCATTGTAGGAGAGTTCCTTTATCTCCATACCTTTGCCAACTTTGTTGTTGTTGTTTTAGGATGTGCCATTCTCACTGGTGTGAGGTGGTATCTCATTGTGGTTTTAATTTGCATTTCCCTGATTACAAGTGATATTGAATATTTTTTTCATATAAGGCATCTGTTTTAAAAATCAAGGAATGTGGGCCCTCCCTGGTGGCGCAGCGGCTTAAAGCACAGCACTGAGAATCTAAAGTCGCTTCTGCATGAGTTCGATCCCCGCCTGCCCCGGAGGTGACCACATGGCATGGCAGACCTCTCCTGACCCGCCTGCTGCTCCCCTCAGCAGTGTACTTCGTAGATCTGCCTGTTCTGCTCCCCACTCTCTCGTGAAGCCTCTCACCGCCCCTGAGCCTCTGGCCTGTACCCCAGTTCTGTATGCACACACAAAAAAAGTGCATAAGTTTAGTTAGCTAATTGATGGGTAACCCACAGAGTTGAAGTAGCCAACCATCTAAAGTGCTCATTGGATATGTCTATTAAACATGTTCTAATGTTAAGGGTAGAAAAGATTAGGGTCAGCCCCTCCCTCACCCAACACAAACACACACACACACACACACACACACACACACAGAGTATTCTCTAAAAGACTGAGGCTATCTCCCAAGATGTTATAAGACCTCAATTTTCCCCCTTGACATTTATTTTCTAGCTTTTCCAGTGTTTTCACTTTGATAATCAGATCATCAGAATTGAGTTTTACCTATTTTTTGAAATGTATACTTTTGTGCTCTAATCTGTTCTGAGTACCACTAGGGTCCTGAATGTTTTTAGTGTCTTCAAAAAGACTTAAAGGGGAGGCCTCAGATTTGCATTCCGAGCAAAAGCAAGTCAAAGTGGGCTGGCTGGGTAGGATCTGCACACTAACCTGGCCACTGCACCTTTTGAGGACCCCAACCACATCTTATTTGCCTCAGCGTCCCACTCCCTAGCTTGGGGCTCCAAGCCTTCTAATCAAACCCTGCTCAGGGCTGTAGGTGTGGGGACAAGTTCTATACTGAAAATGATTTAGAAGAATTGTTTTTTGCTCTCTATGTATTTAGAAAAATGCATAATACTCTTCAAGAGAGATGTGTGTCCGGGTCTATGTGTGGCGAAGGAAGGTACAGGGCACCTCCAGGCCCCCTCAACCAGCAATGACCCTCGGCTCACCTTGAAAACCCCCCAGATCCTCACCTACCTAAAAAAAGGCCACCAGAGATGAATCAGGTTTGGAGGTACAGCGACACTCCCAGCCCCCTTTCCAGGGAACAGTATCTTATCCAAAGGCTTCGATGGGGCTGGTCTTCCCAAGTGCCCCCACTCCCACTCTGTGCCCAGGGCGAAGGCATGTGCTTCAGGGCAGGCTCGTGGGCAATGAACCTCCTCCCAGCAATTTTCCAGTATGGAGCTGGACTCAGTGAACATGAGCGCTCAAGCCAGCTTCCACCAAATTACCAGTGACAGAGGCAATAAATTCTCTCTTCTGCTTAAGCTGCGCTTCAGTGGGTTTCCATTTTCCAACTGGGAGTCCTCCTCTTCTTAGATTTTTCAATTTTACTTTGACAATAATCCAGAAGTTTTGGAGGATGGTCAGTTTTGAATTCCAAAACCACATGCTAAAATTGATGTGGATTTGGAAATGCCTGGGGGGATGAATGAAACCCCGTAGATGGGAGCCCCGCCCCCCCAACAGGCTCCTCTCAAGCCCACCTCCAGCTACCACCCTCCCGGCAGCTACTAGTTCTATTTCATGTCAATTAGAAAATCTAACAACTTTCATTTCAAAGGATCCATGAAATTTCCCTCCCACAAGTGACAAAAGGAGATAAAAACACAGACGGACACCTAAGAAGAAACATTGAGAAGTTATGGCTAAAGTTTATGGTATTTGGGGGAGGGGAGTTCATGTTTAGAAACTTAATTATAAAGAGTAAAGACATACAGTTAACCACACCCATTCAACTTTTAACTCCAAGGACAGCACAGTCAGTTTGGACATGTATTTTATTGTTTAGAAATTTCCAGCAGAGCTATCAGTAAGTACCTTTGTCAGGAGATGCCTATGAGAATCGTGAGTGGGAAACAGGGCCCAGCAGCCCTGCCCGCTCTCCCTGCCAACTCCACACAGATTGGAACAACCGGCCCGGCTTCGAGGAGTGAGGTGACCGAGCATCCCTCACATGCAGATGCAGGACAGAAAACTTCCCAGGTGTGGATTTAAGTCTGACCCTGACCTGACTTGCTCTGGCAGTGCCCAAATAAAATCATCAGAATAGAATCCGAAGAAAGTCAAATCTCTCCCCCAGCTGTCCCTACCTGAAGTTAACTCTTAAAGCTAAGCTTCCTAAACCAGCTGACTATGTTGTTTTTATTCATTTATTTTAAAAGCAAACCAAGTATATTCGGCATCTTTTTAAAAAATCATGTAAACATTGCAAAGGTTTTAGGGAATATTTATAATCTGAAGAGATTTATAAAAAAACGACCAGACTTGTTAAGACTACAAAGACTAGCCCCTCCTCCCGCCATGAAAAAAGCAATTGTTACAAAAATATCAAAAATATACTAGCTTCTCCTGTTTACCCCTTCCACCAAAAATCTCGCAGCTCTGGGACACATCCTCCTGTGTCGTCACCTAAGCACAAGTGCAATTTCCTCAGTTCCTAAAGGAAGGATCCCCCTGTTCTCTGAGACTACAGCTACTTCAGAGGGCAGCAACATTAGGGCTGGAGCCTACACGTCCCTGCTCAGCCGCTGCAGGGCCCCGCAAGGGCATCACCGTGGAGGAGGCTGCTCCCAGGCTCACTCCTTCAGCCGCTTCCAATTTCTCAGGACTTGCTGGGTCCTTAGACTCCTGAGCAGGTCTTGGCTTCCCGAGCTGCCAATGAGGGAGACCGCGGGGAAGAGGCGGCTGCACCCTGCCGCCTCCTGTTGCGCCCACTGTCTGACGCTGCCTGCCCCACTCAGGTTTGCTAACCCGGCTAAGCTGCAGCTCATGGATGATCCTCCCGCCATTACGTGAAAACAACAACTTCACACTGGATCCCACATACTCTTCCACTGCAGCCCAGGCCCCGGGCCCACAGACCAGTGAAAAGCTAGGAAAAGGGCCGAATTCAGCTTGAAATAACTCAGACACTGGGGTTCAGGTCCTTGAGGATACCCTTACCCCCAGGGGGGCCTCCTCATCCTCGCTGTCGCCAGCAGGGGGCAGTGTGTGGAAAGCTCATCCAGCCCTGGGAGAGAGGGGTGCTGGCTAAGGGGCGAGGGATCCACCACCACCAAGCAGGGTCTGTTCCTGTGACTGGGAAACTGCTGGGCTGTACCCAGGGTTCCTTGAGTCCAGGAAGACCTCAAGATGGGAGCCCCAGCCTAGTCACGCTCAGAGAAGCCTTCGCCTGACGGCCCTGGTGTAGACTCCTCACCGCCAGCTGCACGCTCCCAAGGGGAATCCCAGTTCAGCTCGGAGTCTGGCTCTCAGCCCTCCTCCCCTGCCGGAGCCAGTCTGACCTTGGCCGTGGACCCAGAGCCTGCCACAGGCTGGCCTGGCGTCCATCCACCTCCACCTGCTGCTCTCGCCATTCCCGGCTGAGACAGGATGCCGGCCCCGTCTGGGGCCCTCAGAGCCTCCACGGGCTTCTAGGCTCTCCTGTTTGAAGGACTAGATTCTCACAACGCTGAGGGTTTTATTTCACAGATCACGGTGATGAGTTTGGGATTTCCAGTCCTTAGTGTCGTAAAGTCAGACATTTCCCAACATCCTATTTCTGCAGACCTGCAGCATCTCACCCAATACACCCTGATTATTTTAACCCCCACGTGAACTTTCTAAAAGCAACGAAACAGAGAACGCTGGCCAGGTATGCTGAGCAAGTCCCCTCTACTTTGGTTGCATCAAAAAAGGAGAAAACACAGGGCTCTGAGACACCCCCAATTCACATTTGCTACGTGCTCCCAACATGAAGGCACAGAGAAGGAAGTCCTGTGGGATACAGCCACGTGACTGGCGGCCCCGTGAGGCCTGAGGCAGAGTCGCTGGGGGAGGTGAGTCCAGTCTGGCCTGGGTGGGCATCAGGAGGAAGGCCGAGGGCTCGGTCTCCCTCTGGGCCTAAGGCGGCCTCACGCATACTTCTCCAGGAATTTTATATGAAAATCCTTCACCTTCTGGAGAACCGTCTTCAGCTTCTCCACCGGAGGCAGAATGGTCATCCTGTCAAGAGAAAGACCCACTGAACCCCAAAGCTCATTCCTTCACACAGAAGTGGAGGCCAGGAAGTGTGGCCCCAGCACCTGGTGTCTGCTGAACCCACTTTTTCTCTCCCATTTACACATGTACGTGGCCCCCGCTAGTGCGTATGAACGAAAGCAGTGAGCTGGCAGCCGCCTTCAGGCTAAGACACAGCCTCACAACACGGTCACCGACATACGGAGATTTCCCCAGCGCAGAGCGAAATCCACTCCCGCTACAAAGGCCTTTTTGGAAATCTCCACCTCACATTCTCGTACACTGAGAACCTGCAGTCACGCCCCTCCCTCCAAGGAACCCCTGGCTGCCATGGTAACTAACCCCCTGCTCCCACAGTTAGAATGCTCCCCAGCATTAATCACTTCTTGAATGAGCTGTAAAATGTCGAGGTGAACCTAACTCGGGCAAAAAGATCTGAGCACGACCTTGACTGCGTCAACACTTGGCTGTAGGTGCTAATGAAGCTCGGGACATTTCCTTTTTTAGCTCCTGCTGCAGGAGACATCTGAGAGCACGGGGCGTGGATTCTGAATGGAACAGACCAGCCCCAGTGGGGCACCCTGGCTGAGCTGCGCCTGCTTGCTCAGGCCCAGGAGTGCCCATCTGTGCAGGGACGGGCCAGGTGCACTCTGCAAAGCTGGCACAGCGCGTGGAGCCACCTCCACTGTGCTGTGCATGAAGCATCTCAGCAGGCCCTGAACCACTGAGCGCCTGGATGCACTTACGGAGCTGGAAAGGGACGGAGGGGAGAGGAGAAAACACATCTTGGGGAACATTTCAGACGGCATGAGGCAGTGCAGCAGTGGGCGGGGACAGTGATCAAGGTGATCCAAGAGACCACCGCCAGGTTTCCCGAGCCCTGGCATGGGGTCCAGGTAACTTCAGGTCGAGGCCGCACACAGCTGGGCCTCAGAGGCCAGCCTGTACCCTGTCTGTGGCCCGAAACCACCTGGGACCAAACCCCAGTGCGGAGCAGGATCGTACCTGAAGTGGTAGGTGCCTTCCCTCTGCCCAAAGCCGCTGCCAGGCACCACGCAGATGCCAGTCTCCTCCAGGAGCTTCATGCAGTAGAACATGTCAGGCGCCATCTTGTGGGCCTGCGGGAACAGGGCAGAACTTGGGGTTCATTCCAGGCCTTCAATTGCACACACATAGCATTAACCACTCAAGGCCAAATAAATACAGCTGAAGTTCTTGCCCACAGAAGGGGCTCTCTCCCCTCTGCTTCCTACAGGGCCGAGACAGGGCCTGGAGTCCTCCTGCTCTTTGATGGGGGTGCCAGTCTATCTGCTTTGTCCCCACTCCCAGGCAACCGCTCTATGGGCACTGATGGTCCCAGCCAAGCTATATGACACTCGGGCCCCGAGGGCCATACCCACGTCCTTTTAGGGAAGAGGCTCTCTGGGCCACTGCTCACAGCTTTCTCACACCTTAGTTTACACCGCTGGGGGTGACTCAGTCTTGGATGCTAACACCAGAAATTGTGATACTGTAGGTGTGGGAGAGTCCACATTTTGAATGTGTAACAACACACGATAGGCTGGGGTGTGAGGCCATGTTTCCAGGCAGGCCTGGCCCCGACCCTTGAGTAGGCCACATGGCACCACCCGAGCAGTTAGGATGCCGTGACTGGGCCCCCTCAAGTTTCCTGAACCAGAACTGGCATTTCAACAAAACTCCAGGTGGTCTGCATTCACATTCAGGTTTGAGGAGCACATCTCCAGGGCACAGTGGCCACGTGTAGGGGGCGTCGCTCACACTTCCCCAGTGTCCATACAGTTCTTCACAAGGCTGGGCACTGGGCTTCAGGCCACCAGTGCTAAGAGCCCAGTCAGCTCCGCCTCCGGGGGTCAGCCGCCTGCTGCCCATCACAACACACTCAAGAGGCTGGGCCTCCGGGAGCCCCTTTGCTTAACGTGGCCCACAAAATCCATGTCTCTAGGGCCAACACTTTTGCTCCCCAAAGCAAGAAGCAGCCCCCCAACCCAGCAATCCACAGTGAGCCCTGTGAGAGCACCAGCGTCCCAGACCTGAGCGGCCTCCACAGCCTTGGTGGGGATGAAGATCCGAGGAAAGGCATACATGGCTCCCTGCAGGGGGTTGCACTGAATTCCTGGGACTTGATTGAAGAGATCTTCTGTCAGCTTGGCTTTCTTAGCCAGGTTCCCCAGGACGGACTCCTTCTCCTGATGAGGCAGAAAGCACAGGAGTCAGCACCCCAGAATGGCTCCAGCCACCGGAAGCTCCCTCCTGTGTCTGGAAAGGGGACACCTGGTAAGAGGCGAGCCTGCCTTGCCTCCTGAGAGCACTGCAACCTGGGAGGTGCAGAGAAGCACACCCCCAGCACGGAGCTTCTTCACAGATGCTCAGCACAGGCTGCCACACACCCTGTGGCGGGCACACTGGGAGTTTCTGGCCCCAGGAGGGGCTGGTCGCCTGTGTCATGGTTCTGCTCTCTTACTAGGATGACAGTCCCGAAGACAAGGAAAACCAGCTCCTGCCCAGCAGTCTGAATGGACTTCCAGAGGCGGCCACACACCCCCCACTTGGGGCCACGAGGCCCCACTCTCAGTCTGTACAGTGTCATGGGGTGAAGCACATGAGCTGGAACAGAATCCCACAGGACCCACGTGGCAGGGCTGTGCAAGGGAGTGAAGGGGTGTAGAGGTGACGGACGAGCCAAGTGCAATAGTGTTCAGTCTTCAAAAGGACAAGCCCTAGAAACATGCCAAGCGCAACAAGCCAGACATAAAGGGGAGATATTGTGTGAGTCCTCTTACCTAGGGCACCTAGGGCAGCCAAGGTCAGAGGCAAAAGTAGAACGGTGGGCGGGGCCTAGTTTTTAATGGGATCAGAGTTTCAGTCTGGGATGACGGATGGTTCAGGTGGGTAGCGGTGGTGACAGCCTTTGGGCACTGAACATACTAAACAGTACAGCTAAGAAGGCAAAGCTCAGGCTTCCCTGGTGGCACAAGGGGTTAAGTCTTAGCATCTCACGGTGCTGCACTGCAGCACAAGCTTGATCCCGGGCCAGGGAGCTGACCCACAGGCACAGCAGACTTCTCCTGACCCGCCTGCTGCTCCCCACTCTGACTGGTGAATCTTCTCACCCCCTGCACCTCTGGCCGGTACCCCAGTTCTTGTATGCATGAGTAAATAAATCTTTTTAAAAATCTTTTAAAAAAATTATAAAGGCAAAGTTTACGTTCAAAGTATTTTGCCATAATTTAAATAAAAAGAGGTGTGAGTTTGGGAGAGCTGGGAACTAACTTTTTGGTTATGTAACCCATAAATTCCTTATTTTGTTTCAACTAGTCTGAGTTGGGGTTTTGCCACTTGCAATGGTCCGGTGAGCCGTGAGGACATGGGGTTAGGAAAATGCAGACCCAGGGCTTAGTCACAACACCCCAGCATGTGCTCAGGACACAAGGCCCGCCCCTCTGGGTGCCTGTCCACCCATGCTGCTCACAGGTGAGGAAATGGCCCCAGTGCTCAGGAAAAGGACAGTGCTCCCCTTCAAAACTGCTGCATCCACAGACAACCTTGTGGGGGTGGGCGGGGATCCTAAGAACCAGGAATGCCCCCCAGAGGTCACAGCCCTGAAGGCAGCCGCCTGGAGAGGGGTGAAAAAGCCTGGGGACATGGCCCCAGAGAGCAAACGCACCCTGCTGAACTGCTCGAAGGACTCCTCTCCCGGCACCGGTGGGTTCACGACGATGTCCATGGCGGCCTGCCCAGACACCGGGGGGCACAGGCGCACCGACAGCAGCTTCACCAGCTGGCCCTTGATCTCAGGGTGCAGGTTGATCACTTCCATGTAGCCTCCTCTGTAGCCACACCTGGGAGGCAGAGAGGGGGCGAGGACACACCCATCAGAGACTCAAAGGGTGACAGATGCATCGGCCAGAGTCTTCCGCTACCGGCCCGTGCCCAGTGCTGAGCGGCCAGGGTGGCCACGCTCTTGTCAATGCAAAGGGAAGTGACACAGACATATTCTACGTCATTTCCTCACAAGGAAAGCCTTTCTCTCTGTCCTCTTCCCCACGTCCTGAGAAGTGGCGGTGCGTAGCATGCCTCCGTAGGCAGCCCCGGCACGAGCGCCTTGCCGAGCAGAGCCTGCCCTGACTTCCTTCACTGTTACGTCCAAGGAGCTAAACTGCCACCTTGCTTGTGCCATTGTATTCTGGAGTATCTTTTTTACATTGTATTTCGGGGTGTCAGCTTAGCCTGATCCCTAGCTAATACACTGCTCCCTGTTCCAGGGCCACTGATTCTGGCCCGGCTTCTCCCTGTGCAGGCTCAGGGCCAGAGGTGGGCGCAGGAGACGGGATTCACTGCTGCCAAAGGGCATCAAGCCTGGAGACTTCTGCTGGAACTCTCTGCTGCCTGCAAACAAAGTCAACCCAAAGGAGTGAGACAAGCAGACACCATCCCTAAAATCCACCAATTCAACTCTACCCCCGGACGTATTTCCTATGTGGGTACTAAAGCTTCTTTGGTGAAGCCCAGTTCAAGTTGAGTTTCTGTTTCTTAGAGTCAAAAGGATCCTGACTAAGGAGTCAGATCACAGGAAAACAGCTGAGATCATACAATTATTTAAGGAAAACCTTTCAGAATCAAACCTGGTCCATCGGTCACGCTTTCTGGAACTATGCCTCTTTCTTTGGGTAACAAATGAAAATGTGCAGACTACAGAGTGCTGAAATGCAGGCACCCTGAGGTGCTCCCCTGCTTCCCTTGACACAATGAGACACTCACTGTGGGGTTTGGGATCAGGCTATTGAGAGGTTCCCACCTGATGCCCCAGATAGACTTTCAAAGGTGAAAGAGGAAATCCTGCCAACTCAGAAAGGTTTCCCATACAAAGGTTGAATTTTCTGCTAAGGAGAAAATCAAATTAAGCAAAGTATTTTAAGTTCAGGGAAGCAGGAGCCAAGGGCAATTGGGATGTGGACTACAGGGCTGCTCATGTCATCAAGAAGGCAGAGGCCCTCCCTGGTGGCGCAACGGGTGAAAGCACAGCACAGCACGGCAGGCTGGCCACAGCCACTTGGGGGCGAGTTTGATCCCCGCCCTGGAAGTGACCACATGGCGCAACAGACCTCTCCTGACCTGCCCGCTGCTCCCCTCAACAGTGTACTTCTCTGATCTGCCTGTTCTGTTCCCCCTCTGTCTCTGGTGAATTCTCTCACCACCCCTGTACCTCTGGCCTGCACAAATAAATCTTAAAACAACAACAACACAGAGGGGAGATAGACTAGTTTGTGATCGACACACTTGAGTTTGAAAAGAAACATGGAGACCAGAGTTGTTTAGAGGAAAGTGGTCCACCGCAGCCAGCAGTGCCACTGAGGCAGACTGAAAAGACTGGCATCAATTCATGCTGCCCACGTCAAATAAAACCAAGGACAGCTAGGCGACCACCCCACAGCTCCCCCATTGGCCCAAATATTTCTTGACACTGGCCTCTACTTAACAGGTGAGATTCTGTCTCCATCCTGACACCTGGCATAGAGCGGAAGCACCAAGCTGGGGTTGAGGGTGTCGAGCTGCAAAGCACCGCCCCCCAGTCTCCTGTGCAGGTTCCCCTCCACCTCCCACCGTCTGGGCAGGGAGGGCTCAGGCCCGTCCTTGGACCTTCTCTCGCCATCTGGCCGCTGGTCTGGCATTTGCAAATTTAATGCCTCCAAAACCAGCTCCCATCCCCCCAAATCTGCTTCACTCACAGGTGACAGCACCTCTGTCCTTCCTGTTTGAACTGATAACATGGGGGTCTTCTTTGACTCTTCTCTTTCATGCCCGTATTCTCCACCCAGCAATTCCACCTTTAAATACATCCAGAATCTTGTGCCATCTCTACCCCACTGAGAGTCCTCTGACTTGACCAAGTCTCTGCCCTCCCCGGCACACTGCAATAGGCCTTGAAAAGCCTCTGCTCTGCCCTCCAGTGCCTCGTGTCGCTGAGTGGGGCAGAACCTAAGCACCCAGGTGATGTGCTCTCCATTGACTTCTGTGGTCTCAACTTCTGCCACTCTGTTCCTCACTCTCTAGTCTCCAGTCCCCATGCTGCTTCTAGAACACGCCAGTCATGTTTTACCCCTGGGCCTTTGCAGGTGCTGTTCCAGCCCCCTGCAATGCTCTTCCTTCAAATACCTATGTAGCCCCTTCCCTCCTCTCCTTCAGGTCTTACCTCAGTGGGGCACTGCTGAAGCCTGCAACCTCCTGGCACTCCCCATCTCTTCTCTAACAACTGTTTGCTCTACTTAACACAAGATTTTATTCATTTGTCTATTGCTTCTCTCTCCTCCCTAGAACTTAATAAGCTTTGCTGTTTTTGGATTAGCTGTTTTCACGTAGCAGAAAGTTCCAGCAAAAGTCTTGAGGCTCATACTCTCTGGCACCAATGAAACACATCTGCAACCCAGGAACCTGTGCAGGGAAATGCAGGCCAAGATCAATAGCCCCTCTGGAGCAGGGCTGGTGCGCTGGTCAGGGTTAGGATGAGCTGCTCCAACAAAGATCCCCCAGCGACAAGGTCTGTGGACTGCAATGGTGTCAGTGCTGAGGACACTGCTGAACTCACAGATGTTCAGTAAGTTAGCAGGATGAACAAATACAGGATTCAGCTGCTTTCTGAGCCTCATGCTAAGGTGAGATACATGCAGCACTCACTAAGCTTGGCCCACAAGCCTGACTGCACTTGTCCTCTCCACCTGCCTTCCCTGGACCCTCAGACTTCTGTCAGTATCAGAGCGACAGTGACAGGTGGGGAAGAAAACAGTGGCACTGGGAGCTGCTGTAATCTTCGTCATTTCTCCATAGTTGGGGCCCAGCAGGCCCAGAGGCAGCAGCGGGCAGTGCAGGCCAACATACTCGCCCATGTAGCCCTTGGAGGTGGAGTGGAAGGAGGCGAGCTCCACGTTGTTGGAGTACTCAGGACCCATCTCAGAAAGCACCTTCTTAAAGGAGTGGAATCTACAGTCCGGAGAGTACACATTATCCTGGTACACCTGCAGGACAGGACAGGACAGTTACCCAGAGCCCCCAGGAGCCTGAACCCTGCACGTCGCCGTCACGTGTGGCCGAGCGGAAGAGCCCCTCGGGGCCTGGGGAGTCAGGGTCAACACCCACCAGGCCGTGTGCTGTGAAGCCCAGCCTCCAGGGCTGCTGCCAGGGAAGGCATGCCCACAGGAACCTTCCAGAACAGCAGCCTTGAGCTGGAGTGCCTACCTGATTTCTTAGACTCACCCCGCCCAGTGTCCAGACCTTTCTACCTTATCCAACTAGTGATGACATCAAGAGCTGCTACCGGTCAGGGAAATTTTCTTCTGCAATGAGACATTTGCTTTCTTTAAAAGATGAGTAATGGGGCCCTTGTGGCACGGTGGGTTAAAACACAGCACTACAAAGCCAGTTGCTGCCACTTCAGCACCAGTTCAATCCCCAGCCAGGGGGGTGACCCACATGGCACAGCAGACCTCTCTCTTGACCCGCACGCTGCTCCCCTCAGCATTGTACTTCATCGAACTGTCTATTCTGCTCCCCACTCTGTCTCTGGTGGATCCTTTCACCCCCCCCCATACCTCTGGCCTGTACCCCAGTTCTGTATGCACAAATAAATGAATCTTTAAAAAAAAAAA